TTGCAGGAGGTGAGCTGACTTCAAACAAAAGATGAACGCACAGAGATGTGGTGCAGAATGTGCCGTGAAAATTTAATAAATGACAAATTAATAAAAAGGCATGAACATCTTTTTTGTATCGAAAAAATATCGAACCGTGACACCAAAGTATCAAACCGAACCGAACCGTGAATTTTGTGTATCATTGCACCCCTAATATATATATATATATATGGGCATATAGAGGAGTTATAACAGCTGCTATGAGGTGTTAGTGCTGAGGGCAAACCTAAGCCCGTTAGTGTTTTTCTAATTGTGTTATTATGAACTTTAACATTTAACAACTGCCAACTGAGTGCTGTAGAGTTTGAGATGGTGCTCTTGTTTTTTTTTTTTTGCAGTTTTTATAAGCATTGCATGGTCCAACTTTGTAGCTATTTTCTATTGAAGCAGTCAGGGTGCATTTAGTTTTTCACAGTGTGGCTTTGAATTTCTTTTTCAAATGGCTATATATCCATTTTACATACAGATTGTACAGTATCCAGTGTGACTAACCTGCCCAGCTTAAACCCAGCTGTTCGGATATGATGTTGATTTTGAGCTCAGTCCTCTCCATGGCATTCACTGTGGCTAATGAGAAAAAAACACACAGACAGTTTAGAAACATGTAATACAGCACACAAGTAAAAGACGTTTCAATGACCTGATAGTTATACTACGTTTTACACAAAAACGTATTTGGGAAGTCAAACAGATATTGATGTGTGGAAAAAAATATTTTTTTTAATTGGGATGAATTTTTTAGACTTTCTATGACTTTTTTAAGACTCTTTTTAGACTTGATAGTGTTGAAGCAAATGTTATTAAGAGGTGGCTAGTACTGACTCATGTTCTTCTTGTTATTCCAATTCATCATCTGTACCTAAAAGACAGTTAAGTTTCAATACGTACCTTGACAAAAGCACTGCTCTGTTGGAGGAAATAAGCAATACCAACAACAGTGTTTTTTTTACCCATATAATTCTCAGGGTTAGGACATCATTTGACAAGGGAAGGTCAAAATTTGGGGTTCATTCAGGTGCTATTCCTGCTAACCACAGTAGCATTCAGTAACCATTAAATAGAGACTGAGGTGCAATATAGCAGCGCTGTGTATTTGATAGACAGAAAAGGCCTTTATCCATTCACCCTCACTCCCCATCAGCACCATTTAAACCAATCAGAATGGTCATCTTGACTCTCTTTAGTTACCACAGGCAAGTATAAGGGCTCATCTGTCTTGCTCCACTGCGAGGTCCTGCCCATTCTCAGTGCTAAGCTATAGTGCTAATGCTAACAGTATCTGCTGCCATGCCATTGGAAATCGCAGTGGAGACACCAGCGCCATGCAAAACCAACCACAGAAGTCATTCATTGATTGTCACAGCTACCAGGACACTCAGGACAGAAAAAGGCTAAATTGCCATGTGCCATGGAGCCATTTCAGGTCATGTTGGGGGCGGCTGATCATCTTGTGGCTGCACATTCAATATGTTTCCACTAACTGCACTGCAAAAAACTTAGTGGGATACTGTAGAGCAGTACATTGCATCCAAGGCTCAGTTGTTGTGCCATGCGTGCACACGAGACAGGAAAATAGAGAGGGCAGAGTAAGAAGCAGGGTTGTGGGTAAAGTGGCAGTGCAACATTCAGTGCCCATCTCCACTGTGTGTATATCCGGAGAGGGCTGACGGTCAAGCATTGAAGGACTTACCCACGCCGGGCTCGTTCAGTGCACTGTAGCGTTCTCTCAAAGCAAGAGGGGTTAAAGTTCGTCTGCGCTCCTCACTTCCAACAACCTAAAAAATTGAAAGAATTACAATAATTAATCGCCTAACACAGAACTTTTGAACTTTTAACAAACACCCACGTCACCATGTTTTACCCATGTAACATTAGACAGATGTAGCACTTCAGACAGACTCCTGGCAAAGTTATGGTTGATATTAAAATAGTAATCCAGGTAAAATGCAGTAGACTAGATTAAAACACTTTAAACCTTTAAAATAAGGAGTCTCCATACCTTTAAGGTAGCCTGTCAGTCCAAGAGTAAACCCTTTGTCAAAAGGATTAACTGATACTGTGTAATGTTATACTGCTTCAGTTGTATTATTGTACATTTATTTTTTAATGGAATCTTTTTTTATCTATACAAAATTAATAAGCACAAATATTACATATAATACATAATAATATATGTAACACACATATATATTTTGGACAAGCCCCAGTCTGATAGAACAACCTGAAAAAAATACCCATCTATCGGGATAAGGTCACAGTTTATTATGTGTGCATGTTTGCAACCAAATCCTTACCTTGACACAAGGTGGCATGGTTATATTAAGGTTACACAGTACGTGTTGTGTGTCCTCATACTTGGTGCACTTCCGCAGAAAAGACAAAAACCCAGTGGCATCCTTGTTACTGTCTCTGACCTAAACATAGACAGAAAACAGGTAGACAGAGACGAAGGAAGAAAAATAGAATGGAAGAATGTGGAGTGAGGGAAAGGAGGAGAATGGAAAGACAGAAAAGGATGAGCAGAGAAGAGTGGGAAGAGAAATTGAGCAGAAAAGATAGAATAGAGGAAGATAAAATGGGCAAGAAGAAGAAAAAAAATCAAAAAGAGCACTAGATCCCTTAACAGTTGTCCTGAGCATGTGGCGCAGTAACATGGGACGAGAAGCAGGGGGAAACAGGGATGGAAGCAGTCCACAGGCAGGCAAGAGGGAGAGATTTACCTGCACATTTTACCTGGACGTCTGTCAGACCAGACAGTTACAGAGTGACCGTGAGAGAGAGAAAGAGAGACAGTGAGACAGACACATACAGACAGGCAAGGCCGCAAGATAGGAAGGCAGGCAAAGAAAGTGAAGGAGTCACAGGGCATGCAAACAATTACCCAAGAGAGTTGACAGCTAGACAGGTAAGTTGTTTGTTGCTTGGCTACCAGTATTCATCAAGCTGATTCTGAACAATACTTGACTTATCACATCGACAGACACAGATGAACGGAAATACAGTGATATGGAAATTACATAAATATGGTCACGGGACAGGCACGGAACGGCTCGTACACACAATATATAATATATACGGTCAATAGAAGAACAAATACACAAGTCATCAATGTAATGTGGAACAAAAACAGATGAAATTATGATGCTTTTGATAAAGAACTTAAACACAAAACAAAAACACCCTATCAAATCCGATTGCTGGTTTTTATTACCTTTACATTTCAAACAAACAAAGCACAATGAAAATAAAAAAAGAACAAAAGGACTCACAATGACACAGCATGCCAAAAGCTAACTGAAGAAACTGAGAATCCCGAGATCCAATGAACAACCTGACATTCCAATATTTCTAATGTTTATCTTAACTTTACTGCCTGGAATATCTCTCAATTCTATGTAAAAAGGTAGCATATTGCAATTATAGTGCACCAATTATACTGCTGTGTTTAATATTGCAGAGTGAGCACAGGACTGTACTATTACCTACGTGTTTACATCACTGATATGAGAGCGAAAAGCAAACACAAAACCCACCAAATGAACGCGGTGTTTGAGTCATCGGCAGGTGCTCATGAGTGTAAATAACTGGTGAGAAGGTCCTTGACATACAGTATCCAAAAACTAAACAACACACACTTTTGCACACGTATACACACACACACACAAACAAACACACAATACTGTAGCAACACGTAGCAAGTGATAAAGAAGCAGGCATATGAACAAGCAGCTAGGGACAGACCTTGACAGAGACAGGCAGTCTGTTATCTCGGAAGGCCTGGAAGCTGAAGCTACGAGGCTGCTGAGTGGCCTTCCGAATGGGCACCAAGTTCCCAGAACACTCCAGGTAGAGAGGCATGCCCTCCATTAGCTGTGGAAAATATAACATAAAAGGGAAAAATGGAACTACTTCTTTTCTAATAACATTTCACAAGCACTTGTTCACAGGGAATTTATGCAGATTTCTCATGATACAATACACTGTACCCAAAAAACCCAAACAAAAGAATGATCCATCGTCTTTCTAGGTGCAGCAAATGTAATCTATAACAAAAATGGCAAAAACAAGGGAAAGAAGCAGGTGTTGTGCCAAAAAGTGATTGTCTGCCAAAAACTGATTTCCGGTATTTAAACTATAGTTACTATAAGTAACTTGTTGGGCTATAATATGTGAAACATATGTCAAATGCATCCCTCATGGATGACCACAAACAACATTCGTGTAACAAGGTAGAAGCTGCAATCAGTTTTTGGCAGCGACTTTTATAGAACCTTTATTTATGCAGTTAAAAAAATCTCATTAACATTAAAAATGTCTTTTGTCAGATTAAGTTGGCCAAGAGGACAGCAGAAATGGCAGCAAATATTACAATAGTTCTGTAAAAATATTTGTCTTTAAGTGGGGGTAAAGGACCGGATTGGTTACAATGTAAGTACAATAACATATAAAGATACTTGATTTTTTAATTCTATATATAACCCCTTTGTAAACGCTGTTCAGCGAAGTCTATTTACCAACATGCGTAAAAATATTACACATAAAAAATACACGGAAACATTGGAAATCAGTTTTTGGCAGGCAATCACTTTTTGGCACAACACAGGTATACCCTGGACAGGTCACCGATCCATCTCAGGGCTAACACACAGAGACAGACACCCATACTTTAGGACAATTCAACATATCCATGTCTTCAGACTGTGGGAAGAAGAACATGCAAACTTTACACCAGGGGTCCCCTGGTCTCCAGTCCCAAACCGGACCCCGAGAGGTCCGGTTTCCCCCAGATCGCAAAGCATTTTCTCATTTACTATGTAGCTAGATATTTCATTCCTGCTGGCTGCCATGGCTGACTTTTGAACAGGCGTGATGGGCAGCTATGTGGATCAGTGACTTTCTGGTCCACATTCCAAGCCAGCTGGTGGCGGTATTGCACCACCAACCACCAAAAAAACGCCAAAGAAGAACAACCTATGCGGGCCCTTGAACACAGATTGCTAAGTTACAGCTTGGGAGCTTGCGCTTGCCGACAGTAGAATGATGACTTGGTGGTGCACAGTTGAATGAGTAAAAGAAGATGGCTTTATCAAAAGCATGTATAGTAGACTATCTGACATTTAAAGATGAATGGACAAAA